AGGGCATGGAAGATAAACTCAATTAGGTGGACAGGAGGGAGGGAAGGACAGTGAAAAAGTGGTAGGTATAGTGTTCATGGTTTAAAAGTCTTCAAATAGTTATAGTGAAAGTTCTAGGGAAAGATGGATAGGAGATGGTGAATGGGGGTTGGAATGATTGAAATCAGGATGTGGGGGGGATTTCATCTACGTTCTGGTTTAATACCTACCAACTTCATATTATCTCCATTTTAGACATGGGCAAATTATGTCATAGAGATTAAATAACTTGACCAAGGTCACACAGCAAGTAAATGGCAGAATTTGGGTAGGAAATCAAAATAATTAGTTTTGTTTTTAAGCTCCAGCATCTTTGTACTAAACCAGCTGCCTCTGATTCATGGCAGTTGTCCGCTAGACAAAGAGTAATCATTATTATGACTGAGAATGTTTACATTGTGTTTGTTTTGCTTACACCAGGCTTATTATGGCATGTGAATGAAAAGGAGGCCTCAGAATACATTTCTAATTTTAAAAACATCTCCTTACTTTCTTCATAAAACAAGTGGCCTTTAGAATTTGATTGAAAATGATTTTCACTTTCATCTTTGAAAATTCACAAGTTAGGATTCACACATCAGTTTTGAGTAAGCTGTTAGTTAACATGGAGTAAATTCTACCTTATCAATTTACAGTAAAATAAAAATTCTCAATGTTAAGGAGATCATCCTCCATTTTCCTACACTTGAAATTATTTAAGTAGATCCCTACTTAAACAATAAACAATGACAATCTAAGGAAAAGAACGTAAGGTAATTTTGATTATCTCTACCTTAGGAGGCTTCAAGAAAATTTGCTTAGGTTCTAAGTAGATGGTAGTAAAGATTTTATGCTTCAGTAGAGGAAAAGTGACATTTTAAATAGAAGGTTTTTCAGCCTAATAATTAAAACAACAATACTTAGCAGACTTCCACAATACTGCAAACAAACAAAACCCAATTGGCTGGGCTGTTTTTAGTTTAAATTACATGGAGCCTTTTCCAACACTACTTATAGGTAGAGAGGCTTGATTAAAATAGCTGCATAATTCCTGAGCAGAGGGTTTTCTTTGCTGTAATTATATTCGTGTGGTGACTCATACTCTCTTAATTCCTAGATTTTATAATTGAAAGGAAAATATTCCCTTGAACTTTGCCAACCTGGAAGACTCAAAAGTTGTTTTTTAAAAATTATTGTTGTTATTTCTACTACCACTATGACTTCTCTAAATATTATACCTATTTGCTTTTAATCTCACTCAAACTAGCTCCAATGATGGGGATTTACTCATGTGACTGATAGAGAAAGGATCCCACAGATACTCAGCATCAGGGGTGGGCTGTTCTGGATTCCAGGACCTGAGCAGCAGAGATTTGGGGGCTTTCCCTCTGGTGTTCCCCACTGGCACACCTCCATTTCTTTCAAGTGTCTGCTCATTTTTTACTTTCTGCCTCTCTTTCCTTGAATGATTTTTTTTTTTGTGTGAATTTACTTGTTCAGATTCCCAAGAGAGGGAATAATAGTTGGTTCTGCTAATAAACACTGTGTATGGCACATTTCCTCCCCCACTTCTGGGGAATTGAGACCCATACAAGGTTGGGGGCCAGTGCTTCGCAAACATTTGGCTGGTACCTCTCCTGTGTAGGGTATGGCTGCAGGTAACTGGGCGAGATGTGGATGCTGGAACTGTGACATGTTTTGCTCAAGGCAGATTTCTGTCATGCAGCTTCACTTTTGTTAGAAGACCTTTGAAATTTGTGAAATACTATCTCATATCCTCATGAGAAGAAAAGAAAAAAAGGGAAAGAAAAAGAAAGAAAGAAAGAAAGAAAAAGAAAGAAAAAGAAAAAAATACTGTTGGTTGGCTGCGCAATAGCTCTTCTCTCCACCACCCTCCTTCCCCCAAACATTGTTCAGCTCTCTCTGAGTACTCATGATGTTCATGCAAGGCTCTGGAGAAGGAAAACTTGATTGTTCAAAGGCAAATGTCCCAGTCAAAGGATTTGTTTTGGTGAGGCCCAGTAAGGTAATTCTGGCAAAACGTACTTGAGAAGGTGGATGCTAGGGGCATTTTGTGAAGAGTTTACAGATTCTTTTAAAGAAATTCAGGGCTTTTCTACCTTGGGATATTTTTTATCTATGTAAGATGCTTAGAATTGCAGTAGCCATGATAGGGTCATGACAGGAGCCAGTGAAGAGGACAGGTCACTCACCATGTTAGTGAAGGAGCAGAAAGATGAACTTATGCCTGGTCACATCCATGTGCTGAGCCAGCACACCGACTAACTCTGGAACTGCCCGATGTCTGGTGGGAAATTACTTTGATGTAATAGGTAGTAGCTCACAAGTATACTACCAGGCAGGCTAGCCCCCACAGACCAAATTAAAATCCTCAAGTCACATCGTTTGCTAAATTAATTTGAAAGACATGGTGAGAAGCAAGAAGAAAGAAATGGGTGGGTTAGCAACTTTAGTATAGGGTGCAAGTTGGCTGGAAGGATCCCTCCAGCTAAACCTGGGGTACGCGGTGTTCGTGTTCATAAGTTCTGCCTCTCTCTCTGCTGCACCTGCCTTCCCTGCTGTGCTTTCAAGGACCAGAGTGGACGTTTGGGCAAGCTCCATAGGTGGAAGGTAGTTCAAGCTAATGACACCCATTTGCTGGTTCTGAGTTACATAGAAATAAGTAGGCTTGGTCGGGAGCTGTAAATTGCCGGTTAGCTTGATGAACAGTCATGAATTCTATTTGTGTTTTTTGGGCAAAGAAAACATGGGGCAGAAATGGGTGTCAGCAGAGTTTATTAACCAAAGCAGTTTTACCCCTGAGTCTACACTGGCAGTGTCTGGAGATATTGTTGATAGTCATGGCTGGTGTGTCTGTGGGATGCAATTGGCACCTGGTGGGTAGAGGCCAGGGATGCTGCTAAACATGCTACAGTGTGTAAGATACTCCCCAAGACAAAGGATTATCTGGCCCAAAGTGTCAGTACTGTGGAAGTTGAGAAGCCCTCTGTGTCACCAATAGGTGATTGAATTAAAAAGTCATAAATATTATTTATGTATAGTGTATCCTGGATATTTAGTATCTTTTGTATATTATATCATGAACATTTATTACCTAGGTGCTTCATGAATATTAGATATCATTTGGTCACCCATCCCTTTCTATTAAGGTGTAATGCATATGTGATCTTCTGAGTTATACTTACCCATCCTAGGCATTCTGCCACATCTAACAAAATTTTGTTTACTAGTTACTTATCTATATTTAAAACATCTTAGAAGTGTTTGCCTATATTTTGTAAACTTCAAATTTATTCATCTAACAGACCTGGAGATTTGCAGAAGCAAATTCACAGTACACCTGTCCTGGAATTTCTAACAAGAAATAAGATAAAAATGTCCTATAAACAAACTATGGATTATTTAAGCCACTTTTAGTTGTGTTTTCTGCATCTTGCAGCTTTGAGCATCCTAGCTGGCTCCCCCATAACATCATTAGGAAAATGTATTCCAAAGATACATTTATCTTTGATGAATGAAACAAGGAGTTAGACTATAATTATAGGTTTCCTAAATGGTAATGTAGGGATCAGATACTGTAGGAAATTGATTATGGTGCCTTTGTTAATGTAACACATGCTTGATCATTCTGTTTACCTTTCAAGCAACTGTAGGCATGGTGCTTATCACGGCAGGCCTATGCACTCAGATTAAGAGAGAAAGAGAGAGCGTGTGCGCATGCAAGAGCCGGTGCGGGTGTGGGGAGGGACAGAGGGAGAAGAAAGAAATAATCTTAAGTAGGCTCCACACCCAGCGTGGAGGCCGATACAGGGCTCAGCCTCACAACGTTGGGTCCTGACTGGAGCTGGAATCAAGAGTTGGATGCTTAACCCACGGAGCCACCCAGGTGCCCCAGAAATTCACATTTTTTAAATGATTGGGATACTTTTGGCATGGTGAACCTCAGAGCACTGTGACAAAGATTTGTTAGTTGGCTGAACATCTATTGACAGAGTAAATTTAGAAATTTAAGTTTTGTGGCTCAGTTGGTTAAGAGTCTGCTTCGGCTCAAGTCATGATCCCAGGGCCCTGGGATGGAGCCCCACGTCGGGCTCCCTGCTCGGCGGGAAGCCTGCTTCTCCCTCTCCCTCTGTCCTTACCCCCTGCTCATGCTGTTTCTCTCTCACTCTGCACTCTCTCTCTTTCAAATAAATAAATAAAATCTTAAAAAAAGAAATGTGTAGCTTCATTAATTATTTTTATTTAATGATGTTTATTTATATTTTAGTGCTTTAAAAATCTTAAGACTTTAAGACTTTTATGGAAGTTGTGTCTCGAGGCACCACCATTAAAAGGGGAATTTTTTCACATCTATGGAACTAAAGGGAAGCATATTTAAGAAAATGTAAACATTTTTAAATGGTACAAGAAGGTTATTTAGGAGAGATTTCAAAAAGGATTATTTAAAAATGCTCAAAGCATCTTCCTTCTCATTTCTTCTACATTTCTTTGCCCCCTTTTAATGTTTTCATGATGGAGAGGAATATTTTGTTAGATTAAAAATATCACACATTAAAAATGGTAACGTGTGATATCCAATCAGAACTCTTTGATAAAAGCTAAAGTAAAAACAGGAAGAATGAGATGTCTTGCAGATAATGGTGAGCTTATGATAGTTTCCAAGAACTGAACTAGGTCAGAGGAATAAGCTCTGGTAGGCAATGGGGTGACAGGTGACTTAACCTCATACTTTTTTAGAAGTACTAGGATGTGTGTGTGTGTGTGTGTGTGTGTGTGAGTGAGAGAGAGAGAGAGAAAGAGACAGAGAGAGAGAGCGAGAGGGAGAAAGAGACCTATAAAGTTTTATTTTTGTTTTAAAGTATGAGCTAAAGAACCATAAAGCTGGCATGTGTAAACTTGTCAATTTTCAGATGATTTACATTTTCAAGGTCCTCTTTAATCATCATTTCTGTTTGTTACAGCTATTTGCTGTCCTCTGAATACGTAGAGAGACACGTTGAACATGGAGGGAAGACGGTGGAAGTTAAAGTAAGTAAAACTGAATCATAGACCTGTACCTCTGAAACAAATAATACATTATAAGTTAAAAAAAAGTAAAAAGAAGAAGATAGAAGGAAGGAAAGAATGAAGGGGGAAATCGGAGGGGGAGACGAACCATGAGGGACGATGGACTCTGAGAAACAAACTGAGGGTTCGGGAGGGGGGGTGGGTTAGCCTGGTGATGGGTATTAAGGAGGGCACGTATTGAATGGAGCACTGGGTGTTATACGCAAACAGTGAATCATGGAACACTACATCAAAAACTAAAGATGTAATGTATGGTGACTAACATAACATAATAAAAAAAAGTAAGTAAAATTGTTTCCCTCTGGGGGAAATTTTTTGAGAATTTTTAAAATGCTGATTCTGATTTTAATTTTCATCGATACTTCTAATGTACAGTCTTGGGGTTTTTATATTTCAGAATTCTTCAAGAAAGTGTATCACCCACTTGGAATAAAAACCTTCAGTTATCAGAGAAAGAATTCTTAATGTACTGTAGGAATTGTTGGAGTTAGGTTTTATGGGATTAATGTAGTGCAAGGGGTTCTTTTTTAGAATATGTCACAGAAAATAATTTCTGAATTTGCCTTTAAGGCTAGCCCTGAGAAACAAGATGTAAAATCTTGGGTCCAGGGTAGATACATGACTTTGCATTCAGTTGAAAAAGACATTTCCCTGGTAAAGTGGTATTTATTAGGTCTACAGGGAAAGCCCGGGGGTTTTTTAAATCCCTGGTGAGAGAAATCGCAGGACACTGGTTCTTGTCAGGTAACCTCTGAAAAGGTGACTTGTAAATAAAAGCCTCTTCCAATTATAGGCATAGGAATGTATATTTTTGTCCAGTCTACTGATGATGTCATCTGAGGACATGTGAGACCGAATCCCACCCAGGGGTTTCTTTAGGCCCGTTGTATAGTATGATGTTTTAACCATGTGTTTGTTTTCTTCTAAACAGTGTTCAGACTACCTGTTTTACTTTATAAGAATTATAATGCCACTTATATATATTTGCTTTCTTTTTCTAAATATAAATTTGACACAGACTCATTTTAGTAAACTTACAAATAGAGAAAAGTGGGGGAAAAATGAAAAATCACCCTTAAATTCATCACTGAGGTAAACTTTGTTTTCATTTTGTTGTATGTCCTTTTAGTATTGTTTTGTCTTATGCACCTATTTATATTTTAATTTTTTTATATAGTTGCTATCATACATACCTGCACTATAGTAAGCAAGATTTCTATATCATGTATAGACATCACTGATAAAGACTTAAAACAAAATCTGTTAATTTTTATAAGTGAACTAATTATAATAATTATACCAGTACTTCCAGAAAGTTACTCTAAATTTATTAAGACTGGCTGATTGAATGGTTGGTTGATTTATTGCACTGCCTTACTGCAGAAAGGATGTCAGGATTTTTCCAGGTATGACATAGGAGAATGGTGCCATTTTGTTTGGAGTTGGAAAAAATTACCGAGATTTAGAATCTCTGGGCTTCTGTTCTCTTCCCTGTTTATTTGGCTTCACTTCCTTATTTTGTAGGATGCTTTTCTGAATGCAGAGTGTATCTTATTCTTTTGTTAAATTAAAGAGGAAAAGAAATAGTCATTTCACTATCAATTTCCATTTATGCCTGTCAGTGGAATAATGAAATGCATATATGAGCGTGGAGGGCAGATCTAGCAAAAAGCTATCTTCTGTTGCTACAGCAATATCCCTTTTCAGGAAACTTGAACTTCATCAACAAAGCTTACTCCACTCTGAGATCATTAGACAAACGGGTATATATGACACCTAGAGCTCTGATGTTCTGCACAGTCTTTGCTGATTTTCTAGTCTGAGAATTGCGTTTTCTTGGTTGATGGTTTGCCTAACCCCCCAAGCCTATTAAACAAGGGAAATAATAAATCCAACCTTCATTCAAACCCTTGGGCCAGAAGACGTTTCTCCCTTCAAGAAAACCACTTGGATCTCACCCATCACCTCCATTTGTTTCTAGTCCTTTTAAAAATCTAACTCAAAATTCTCCTCTGGGTTTTTTCCAGGAACCACATTGAAAGCTCTGAATCCTGCCCCATCAATTCAGTTAGTAGCCAGTTATTTTCCTGCTGGTTCTCTTGTGTGTTGCCCTTTGTGCTTCACTCTTTGGGGTGTTTCTTTTTACATGGAATCTGTTAGTTCTCTTTTCTTTACCAATGACTCAGAATTTTCTTAAGCTTTTCTTTTCACTATACATTAGGAGCTAAAATTGTAGCATTTCATATTTTTTCCTCCTCTTTCTACTATTTTTTCAAAACAAATTTTTTTTACCTTCCCTGTTAGTTTGCTAAGGCCTCCATCACAAAGTACCACAGAATGGCTTAAACAACAGAGATGTATTTTCTTAAAATTTTGGAGGCTACAAGGCCAAGACTGAGGTGTCAGCTGGGTTGGTCTCCTCTGAGGCTTGTAGATGGTGCCTTCTCCTTATGCCTTTACAGGGTTTTCCCTCTGTGTGTGTTTGTGCTCTCATTTCTTCTTCTTCTTCTTTTTTATTTATTTGAGAGAGAGAGAGAGAGAGAGCACATGAGCAGGAGAGGGGGAGGGAGAGGGAGAAGCAGGCTCCCTGCTGAGCAGGGAGCCCGATGCAGGACTCAATCCCAGGACCCTGAGATCATGACCAAAGGCAGATGCCCAACTGACTGAGCCACCCAGGAGCCCTCTAATTTATTCTTCTTAAACAGACCATTCTTCATGTTGGACTAGGGCCTACTCTAACAACCTCATTTAACTTAATTACCTCTTTAAAGACTGTGTCTTCAAGTACAGTTACAATCGGAGATACTGGGGGGTTAGGACTTCAACATAAGAATTTCAGAGGAATAAAATTAAACCCATAATGCCTTTCCTAAGAGTGCCTGTTTTTTTTTTAAGATTTATTTATTTTAGAGGGAGCGAGGGCGAGAGAGCACATGTGGGAGGGGCAGAGAGAAAGGGGAGGAGAATCTCAAGCGGACTCCATGCTGAGTGCACTGAGCATGGAGCCCCACCCAGGGCTGCATCTCACGACCCTGAGATCGTGACCCTGAGCTGAAACCAAGAGTCCCACGCTGAATGGACTGTACCATCTAGGTGCCCTTGTGCTTTTCTTCTGGAAGTGAAATAAATGAAGGGTATATGAAATCAAGACAAAACTCTTACTTCTTTTGATGATATAAAATCAAAATCAAAATCATTATGCCACATCAGGGTGCCTGGGTGGCACAGTCTGTTAAGCATCTGACTTATGATTGCAGCTCAGGTCGTGATCTTGGGGTTATGGGATTGAGCCCGGCATGGTGCTCCCTGTTGGGCGAGGAGTCTTCTTGAGATTTCCTTTGCCCCTCACCCCGCTTGTGGTCTCTCTGTTTCTCTCTCAAATAAATAAATAAATAAAATCTTAAAAAAAAAATCATTAGGCCAGATTTAAACAATGGCTAGATACCAATCTAGTAAATGACTCTGCTCAGGTGTCATGGAACCTTTATTTGTGAAACTCGGGTGCAATGCATTTATTTAAGGGTGTGAGTATGAATGTGGGAAAAGGAATACATTTGCATAAAAAATATGAAATAGCTACTTTTAGATTGTGATTTTTTTCAAAACTTTTTATTATTTTTAAATTTAAAAAAATTTATTTTTTTTAATTTTTTTTTTTAAGATTTTATTTATTTATTTGAGAGAGAGAGAATGAGAGATAGCACGAGAGGGAAGAGGGTCAGAGGGAGAAGCAGACTCCCCGCTGAGAAGGGATCCCGATGCAGGGCTGGATCCCAGGACCCTTGGATCATGACCTGAGCTGAAGGCAGAGGATTAACTGACTGAGCCACCCAGGAGCCCCTAAAACCTTTTTAAGTTGTAAAATATAACACTGGCACAGGAACTGCTAAAGTGAATACCCTATAACCACTATCCAATTTAAGAAATAGAGCTTGACCAGCTCTTCTGTGTGCTGCTTCCCAAACCCGAGCCCCTCCCTCTTCCTCTTATAGACTTGTAAGTAGTATTGTGACCTTTATGGTTATAATTTCCTCACTTTTGTTTATTGTCTTATCACCTGAAATTGTACCCCTGCAGTTTAATTTGCCTATTTGAAGTTTTTTTAATGAGTTTTAAAAAGTCTCTTTTAATCTGTTGGTTTCCTCATATCTTTCTTTTTTTATTCTCCTTTGCAATTTATTTATTTTTTTAGAATTTTTTAAATTTAAATTTTATATTTTATTTATTTATTTGAGAGAGAGCATGAGCTGGGGGGCAGGGCAGAGGGAGAGGGAGAAGCAGGCTTCCCGTGGAGCAGGGAGCCCGATGCAGGGCTCCATCCCAGGACGCTGGGATCATGACCTGAGCTGAAGGCAGACGCTTAACTGAGCCACCCAGGCGCCCCCCCTCCCTTGCAATTTATATATTGTTTCTTCAACAAATAAATTGTTTACCCTATGTGGACTCTCACAGTGGGGATTTTGCTGTCAACTGCAATTTTATATTTAGAGTAAAATGAAATCTTATGTCCGTGATCTTTCCTTAAGATAGTGATTTGTATTATCTGCAAGGACATTCTATGCCCTGTTGAAGGTAGTTTTATTCCAGTCAGATAGATACATAATCCTGATTTTAAAGTTCTATTAAAACCTTTTCTTCAAAGGTTACAAAGATAAAAGCTTTAAGCGGAAAAAAAAAAAAGGTATTTTTGTTCCCTTAATAAGGCATGTTAATCTCATCTTTCACTTACATTTATTTCCAGTTCATTTAAAAATTAAATTCTAAATTTGCTCCTTAGTTTAGGAAGAACTTTTATGTGTTTGATACGAACTTTTAAAAGAATTGTAACATTAAGCTTCAACTGATCAGAATATCTTGGGAACAAAATCTTTTCATTTTGACTGTGACAAACTGTGGATCTAGATTCTTCAGACAAAGTGACCTGGGATTGATGAGTAGCAGCAAATAAGTATAAGCCATGC